ACACACACACACACACACACACACACACGAGTGCATAGGACCTCCTGGTACATTTTTTGGGCAAGTTCCTGTGACTCTATAATTTTTTCTCAACTAAAAAGTTAAAAAAAAAAAAAGTACATATTTAAACTGGCATCTAAGCCTGTGAGGGATCTCCCCCCTCCTACTGGCAATACAAAATTCGTATATCCCCACAACTGAAAAGAACATATAAGGATGAAAACAGATCCTATTGTTGTGATTTCCTGTAAGTTAATGAGGCATAAATAGTCCCACACATCCCAAACAACTTCCTCCCAGAAGGCAGATTTTGGTGAGTTCCCAAATGTTACACCACAAGATATAAAGTGACACAGCAAGACAAATCCCAGAAGGTCACTGTGTAAAAGTACTTCATCTCCTGCAGTTACAATTACAAGAGTTTTTATATGTCATTAGTATAATCAAACACCAAATGTCTAATATTCCATTTGCTTTATTCTTGGCTCTACGTTAAATCTTGCCCAAGTTTTAGGAGTTTCTTTGAGAAATTTAAAAAATTTATCTGAGGTGTATGAAAGTCAATTAACTGAGATGGTATCAGCCTAAAACTCTAACTGGGGGTTGAGAATAGCTGATCTTGAACCATTCTTATTACAACAATGAGATTATCTGGAACACTTATCAGTGTAGGCTGTGTGACAATGAAGTCTTATCTGGAATGCAGACACAGACTGCTTATCTATTCTCCCTAAGAAAAGGGCAGGATCCAGCTGGGCCAGAAGCAATCAGTGACAAGCCATTACAAGTCCTATTGCAAACTTATTAAAGGAGCCATTCTTACTGACCTTAAGCCTAACAGCATTAAGAGGTGGGCTCTGCATGGACATCCTAAGAGACTGAAGAAGTACTATATCAAGTTCGGACATTTACTAGTTCCTATCCCCAGTTATTCCTGATGCCAAGAAATCAGAACTACAAGCGATATTCAGTGTCAAAATTTCTCCTGACTCTCCAGACTCCCCATCTCTGATGCTACTAACCTTGCTTTAAAATCTGCCACAGCACTGTAGTCTCTAGTACCAAATAAAGTGATCATTTCACAATATGTACAAGTACTGAATCATCATGTTGTACACCTGAAACTTATATGTCAATTATACCTTAATTTAAAAAATAAACCAAAAAAAGAGTTATGTATCCAACGTTGTAATATGTACAGGAACGCACAGATGACAGAGCAACAAGATAAACGCACAAGAAACAGCAGGACAACAATAATTTTATATCTCATAATTGGAGCATTCATTATACATAAATTCAGGAGATCTCACGAAAATGTTCAGATCCACCTGAACTAACAGCAGCTGGAGAAGGATGAGTGGACGAGCAGGACTCAAACCAGGGC